TGGAGAAAAAAAATTTAAAATATGAATATCTTCTACGAAATGAAAAAGATCTGCAAATTTTCACAGAATATTTTAAGATCTAGAATGAAAAATGATTTTAAGAAGATAAACAACCAAACAATTAGGATATCCTTTCGGATTTGATCAACTAATCAATAGATTGATTAGCTAGCTCTGATACCAATAGTAGTAACCCAAAATCCTCTAATGTATCAATAATCACAGCTTAGGTCAATAAATGAGCGAAAGCAATAACTATGATATTGAAAGGTTAGCAGAGATGAACAAAAGCACAAAAAGAACTTAAATTGTTGAACAAGTCGGCTATATTGATTGAAGAAAGTTACAATAAAGAAAACTCTCAACAATAATCTAGATTCCACAAATGTTTGAATATTCTCTCTAGAATGAGCATTTTCAAAATATATGGCAATTCGGATCATTTGTTTCTTGAGAGGAAACATCTTTATATACGCCATTGGAACAGAATCTTCGATAATTCTGGCTTGAAACTTTGTCAACGTATCCAGAATCATTAGCCTTCACGTTCCTTGAAAGTTGGAATCGTTTATGTACACGTGTCGACTTTAGATTGAAACACTTGTGATAAGCATTGGAAGCTTTGTGCGCAAGCCAAGGGTGAAGGCGACCTGGAGGCTCTGCATGTATAGTGTAGAGGCTCTGTGTCTGGAGTAGTTGCTCTGTATCAAGTTCTTGAGCTTTTTGACGCTTAAGACTTGATCTTCCTTTTCTTGTGCATGGGCTATGTATGCGAGGCTCTCCTCTGTGTTCGAGCAGCTCTGTCTCTTGGCGACCTCTGCATCCGAGCTCTTGTTCCAGGCTGCTTCCTAGACTAAGTCCTCTTGACTAGAGCAAGAGATTTCTTACTTACATTTCATGAAATAAATATCTAACATCTTTCAAAATTAAAAGGGTTTATGACAATTTACGAAGTTCCTTTTTGGTCGACCTCATTTTTTCTAACAACTTTAAAAAAAATTAATTAAAAAAGGGCATATTCTATGATCAATAATATGCTAAAAGAACAACCAAAGATAATGAAGATTTATGAGATTTTAATACTCTCAAATTTTGAATAGTGGTGTTAATTGTAATTTTTATGTGTAATCTATTTCAGAATCTGTTAATAATTAAGTCGCAAAACAAGCGTTATAATCTAAAATGCAAAATTGGAAAGACTAATTTTGTGCACACTCATAATAACAGTTAATATTGCACATTTGCTTGAAACTAACCATTTTTGAACAATTCTTGATGTCAAAACATTATTTTTTATCAAAAAAATAAAAAAATCTATGAAATTCTTTTTGTTACAAGAAACAATATCAATGAAAATATATAATTTACATTTAAATAACCCTAAACATGAGAATCATATTAATGAAAAACCATAGTTGAAATCAAAGTCATCCAGATGGCAAAACCCAATATTAATTCTTATCGTTATCTTTATATCTTTATATATCTTAGAGTAAAACTTATAATGAATGAGGTAACATCCTAAGGAGAAAATATTCTTCATTTCTTAGATTGTAGTTGAGTTATGTATATCTCACATTGATGGAGATATGAAAGATTTACAATCAATGGTGGGTATATGAAGGGAGGTTGAGATATCTTTATGGAAACTCATGGGATTAGCTCCTCTTGACCGATCCTCTAAATTTACATTGTTGGCTCATTTTGACCGACCCTCCGAGCTCATGGGTTGACTCATTTTGGTCAACCCTTTTTTAGCAAAAAAATAACCATTCAAAATAAAAATAAAAAAAACTTTATTAGATTTAAGTATTTTAAAATCTTGAAGTATGTTGTGATTTTGGTTATCTTTCGCCAACCTCCTTTTACAATTTCTCTTTGTTAAATATGAAATGATATTATGAGATTTAAGTTTTTTTTTTTGAATTGTGGTATGATTTTTGTTATCTTACAAGTATAAGAAGATGATTGAATGCACAATATACATGGTATATTATAAAAATGTATTTCTTTGAAAAATTAGTTGGCTAGAATATAATTTTTGACCGATTCTCCTTTTGCAAAAAGAATGTATATATCCACACAAATTATTTAAATACAAAAATGACATAATGTTGACAAATATCAACAGTGAAAACGATAGTTTATAACGTATTTTTTGGAGAGATCCTTCTATGTAAATATCTATATCTATATATGTATACATATAAAATGAAGATTGTAGGGCATAAAGTAGTATTATGAGATTTAAGTATAAAAAATATTCAATTATGGTGTTGTCTTTCTTATTCATATTGATGGAGGAAATAATAGATTGAAGGTCATTATATATATATATAATAGATGTCTGAATATATTATGATATTTTATTTAAAATATTCATTAAAACCAAATATCATATTATTTGTATATAAATTTATATCATCACACAACGTCAAATATCGAATATCATTGAAGATGTCAAAGCAATAGAAAGAGGGGGAAATTGATTAATATCCATAGTTATTTCTTTAACCATTTTATTAACCCAAATTCATTTTAGTTAAAATTTATTTACAAAAACTAAATTTTTAGATTAATTTTTTTTCATAAAGATTTTTTTTTCTTTTTCTAACTGAAAATAGGCTCTACGCAAATTTAAAATGGGAATTTCGTTCTAAAAGTGGCTAAAGAGTGACTTTGGAGTTTCCTCGGAAAGAGTTTGATGCCTCGAATAAAAATCTATTATTCCCAAATTTTATGTATTCTTATCTCGTCAATCATATGAAAACACAAAATCATATCATTTAATGTACATGAATTTGATTTTAGGTTTTCATTTTCTGTCTGATGATTTGTTTTAAAGTGATTGGTGGATAAGAAGTTTGTTGTCGAAGCCTGTATTCTCTTCATTTCGGTCGAACACGGAGGGAAGGAGTGATCTCTTGAAGAGTCTTACCCTTCCGAAGATGGTGTAACGACCCATGTACTGCAAACGCCATAGATATGTGACGAAAACTAGTCAATGCAGGGTCATCGGTACTCAACTATTACCTTTTCTTTCAATCCTAGTTGCATGGTCATGGTTTCGGGGGTGAATCATTGTTGATTTTTTGTGTTGGTTGGTTTCTTTTATTCGTTCAAGTTGCAAAATACTTAAAATCCCATATAAAATAGGTCAAGCTTCAAACTGCAAATTTCTAATGGAATCCGATGTATTAATGCCATTATGATGACATCCAAGCTTTAAAATGTTTGGATGGGTCTAAGTGGCCAAGGGAACATTTTGATAACCGTCCCTTTCGATCTCAATCCTGGTCTCTTATTGGATTAGTATAACCAATAATAACCAGTTATGTAACCGATTCCTTATAACTGGACCCTTAACCAACCCGTTTAATATATATGATTGGGTTCCGGTAAGAAAGAAAGTTATGATGAGAAGTGTAAGAAGAGATCTCCACATTTGAATCAGTCTTAATTGAATGTCAATATTAATGAGGTGCACCAGATCAATTCTCTTCCAAAGGCAATTCATGGATGGACATGAGATCAAAAGTGATCAAGGGTCTAGATTTATTTTTACGCTTCTCACCATCACTTCTCTTCTCACACGATAATTCGCCTTAATATATAGGCTATATATACATATATATATATATATATATATATATAATTTTCCATATTAGAGAGGTATTTTTACTACTTTTTAAGAAAACACTAAAATGACTCATTTTTCACGAACCGGAGAATAGCAGTTTTAATTGCAACGTATATCATCATTTAATTTTTCGTGTTAGCAATAATACAATTTCAACGTTTTTAAAGTAACTCGTAGATATAAATTCTTTTTATTTGCTTGTTACTTTGTTACAGTAAAACACAATACTTTTGGCATTATTTTGATCCGTATTATACGTTAAACTTTTTATTAAGAAAATGTTGTCGATAACACTTTCAAAAGTAGCTTGCAAACTCAAAACCGAGGACTCGTAAAAAGAATCGCTTTGCCTTTATTTTGTAACTCACGAAATAAATAAATAAACCTCTACAAAAAAAAATAGAATTATAACGTTTTCTTAAAAGGGTGAAAATATTTGTATCTATTTATGTATTAAAAACATTCATTCCTATCTATTATTTATCATAACTCGATAATTACATCATCATCTAATTTTATTTGTATTTTAATCAGAAAAATCTCATCCCATTACAATCATTTTAATGTTGTAACTAGGATCATGCATCTCATGTTTTAAATTTGAGTTAAGAAACAGTTGTTGAATGGTTTGATGCAGAATGATTAAGTGGTCAGAACGATTTAAGAGACTCTCATGATATAGTGCAAAATGAAATATAATTGTTTGGTAATTGTTTACAACAAAATTAGGGCGCTGAATGGTTAAGGGAGGTCATGATACAAAATTATTCAGAGGGTTTTAGAACCATTAAAAGACAGATTTTTTTCTCAAATAACATTCACCTCTTAATGAAACTATTAAGAGGTAAGCAAACAATCCCTTATTATGCTTAATACGTTATCAAAAATATGCTCTAATATTTTATTATTGAGAAGATATGATTATTTATGTATTTATCAAAATACCCCTCCCTCTAATCTATATTATATTAAGGAGCGATCAAATACAAATCATTCAATTTGCACAACTTATGTTTTTATAAAAGTGTTTATCAACTTGTTATAAATTAAAATGGTTTAACTTTTTAAAAAACTATTTATTACCGATTTGATACCGACATAAGCTATTTATCCACACACTCAAAAAATACTTATTATCGATGTGACATGTGCATAAATCAATAAGTTAGTTTTATAGACAAATACCTCTTAGCATCCAAAAGAAAAAGGTTCAGCAGGAAGGAAGGTTCAATGGTTTGAGTTTTTGTAGTGAAAAACAAGTGCCAATTAGCCAACCGTATTTGACATAGTTCGTCGTACGAATCTGAGATTGTTGAACACTTTCCCGCCGACCTGCTTTTGCCATGTTCAGTGCTTCCAGTTTCATAAGAAGACTCAAATGAAAGCTCTCAATTGTCATCACTTCGATTTCAAAGTCTCAGTTTACGCCACTAAATTCTTTTCATCGCTTGTTACCCCATCGATTCTCCCCGCAAAACCACACAATCCTTCAAATTTATCTCTTACATTCAACCCTTACCAGTTCCTTAATGAATCAGCCAAATCACGAAACTTTACACTCGAAGAAACCAAAATCATACATACCCAATTCCTCAAAACCAACAACTTCTATACAAATCCTGAGTTTTCGAACTTCTTATTGCGCAGTTATTGTAAAGCTTCGGCGTTTGTGTATGCACTCAGGCTGTTCGACGAAATTCCTCACCCAGACACTAGTTCTTGGAATCTAGTTATCACGTCTGAAAATCAAAACCTTAGGTATGAGGATTCTTGGGGAACCTTTTGTAGGATGCATTCTTTGGGTTTTGTTCCCAATGAGTTTACATATGGGAGTGCTCTTTCTGCTTGTATATCTTTGAATTTTGTTAATTGTGGGAAACTGCTTTACTCACTCGCATTGAAACATGGTTTTTCTTTGGATGGTTATGTCCGTAGCGGGATGATAGATTTGTTCCTAAAGAGTTGCAACTTCAATGATGCTTTGAGGGTCTTTTATGACGAGTCTTGTGGGAATGTGGTATGTTGGAATGCTATAATTTCTGGCGCCATAAAACATAATGAGGATGATTTGGGTTTGAATCTTTTTCAGCAGATGCATCGTGGATTTCCTTCACCAAATAAGTTTACATTCCCTAGTGTTTTCGGTGCTTGCGCTAAATGTGAAGAACTTAACCTTGGCAGAGGAGTTCATGGATTGGTGGTCAAATATGGTGAAGATGAAGACGTATATGTAGGGACTGCTATTGTCGATTTCTACGCTAAATGTGGCCAAGTAGATGAAGCTCTAAAGAAATTTTCACGGATGTCTGTTCGCAATGTGGTATCTTGGACTGCTATCATCACGGGTTTTGTTCAGAAATCCGAGTTTGAATCAGCCCTCCAACTATTTAAAGAAATGATTATCTTGAAGGAAGAAATCAACAATTACACTGTTACTAGTGTGCTTTCGGCTTGTGTGAACCCAGCCTTGTTTAGAGAAGCATTGCCAATTCATTCTTGGATCTATAAAACTGGATTTTACTCCGATTCATCAGTGAAGAATTCTTTGATAAACTTGTACTCAAAAACAGGAGCAATAGAATCATCTGAACAGGTATTCAGAGACGCGAAAGATATGATGAATCCAAGTACGGGGGCAGCGATCATCACGGCATTTTGTCAAAATGGGACATTGGAGAAAGCATTTGGTTTCTTACAGAAAATGTTTCAGGAAGGTTTGATTCCAGATAAGTCTTGTATACCTAGTGTCTTAAGTATTATTGATTATCTAGAATTAGGCAAACAGATACATTGCTACACTCTTAAGACCAAAATATGCTATGATCCCTTAGTGGGTTGCTCTCTTTTCACGATGTACTCCAAATGTGGTAGCTTAAAGGACTCATATGAAATTTTTCAGCGAATCCCAGATAAAGACAATGTCTCTTGGGGGTCGATGATTGCAGGATTTACAGAGCATGGGTGTCCATATCAGGCTATAGAGCTATTCAGAGAAATGCTTCTGCAAGATGTTATTTTAGATGAAACAACGCTAACCGCTGTTCTTGCAGCATGCTCTTCTCTTCGTGCCTTAAAGATTGGCAAAGAAATCCATGGCTCTTTTATTCGACAACAAGATAGTAAAGCCATATATGGTGGTAGTCCAATAGTTAATATGTACTCGAGATGCGGTGCTTTAAAATTGGCTAAGAGGGTATTCCGTATGATGCCTTCTAAAGACCAGATATCATGTTCTTCATTAGTTTCAGGCTATGCACAAAGTGGGCACATCAAAGAGGCACTTCATCTGTTTCTTGAGCTGATAACATCTGGTTTAGAGGTTGATTCCTTCACAATATCCTCTGTTTTAGGTTCAGTAGGAGATCTAAACCATTCAGACATCGGAATTCAGTTGCATGCTCGTGTCCTGAAACTTGGGTTCGAATCAGAGGCTTCTGTCGGCAGTTCATTGGTCAAGATGTACTCCAAATGTGGAAGTGTTGATGATTGTTGGAAAGGGTTTGAACAGATTGATAAACCAGATGTAATCAGCTGGACAGCCATGATTCAAAGCTATGCTCAACATGGAAAAGGATTAGAAGCACTAAAAGTCTATGAACTCATGATAAAATCAGGAACCAAACCAGATCCAGTGACTTTTGTGGGTGTGTTAACCGCGTGTAGCCATAGTGGTTTGATTGAAGAAGGGTATTCATATATGAATTCAATGGTTAAAGACTATGGAATTCAACCTGGTCAACGGCATTACGCTTGTATGGTGGATGTTCTTGGGCGGTCTGGAAGATTAAAAGAAGCGGAAAGATTTATTAATAGCATGGGTATTGAAGCGGATGCGTTAGTTTGGGGGACGCTGCTTGCCGCTTGTAAAGTGCATGGTGAGGTTGAGATCGGAAGAATAGCGGCTGAGAAGTATATGGAGTTGGAACCATCTTCAGACGGAGGTTATGTAGCTTTGTCAAACATATGTGCTGATTTGGGGCAATGGGAAGAAGTCTTGAAGATCAGAACCGAGATGAAAGGAACTGGGATAAAGAAACAGCCGGGATGGAGTTACATATGATATGGGCCTTTTAACATCACAAACTCGAGTAAGTTTCACCACCCCCGTTTACCGGGTAAGATTCTCGGTTAACAAAATGGCACGGTAAGATGTTTAGTAAAAGGCCATCATCTCTTACAAGGGTAACCGATAAGTGGCGGTGAGGGTTTACTAAACAACCCGTTTGCAAATCATAAACTAGCTTATTTTTTTAACTTGTTGAAAAAGTCGGTTTGGTAAGCGATAAATTAACATTTCAAATAAATACATCCTCTTTTAATATACTCATACCTATTCTTCATTCTATTATCTTTTCATAATTGTAAGATAATAAAAATCACACCACAATTTTAAAAAAAAAAATACTTAAATCTCGTAATATCATTATATGTCGATTCAATCAAAATTTCTTTTTGTAAAAAGAGGGTCGGCCAAAAACGATATTAAGCCACAACCTTTTAATTTTTAAAAGAATCTCCCTCCTTCTATATACCCACATGTAGGGGTGCTTTTGGGTTGGGTTGATCGGGTTGAAGACATTTGAACAACTCAACCCAATGCTTGCAGTTTGAAAATTCCTAACCCAACCCAACCAAAACCAAAGTGCAACCCAACCCAAATCGTACGGGTTGGTCGGGTTAGTCGGGTTAGTCGGGTTGATATTTTGGTACATCAAAATATTCTTTTAACCTTGAATATGTTATTTCTCTACTCATAATTTCTTTTTCATCATCAACCATTTTATACAGGTTATCCATACTTCTTACGTATATTGCATTCAGTTAATTTTCTCAATTTACATATATATGTTCACAATTACTGAACATATATACGAATGAGTTATACAGAGATGTGAATAGATTGAAAATATGTATATATGAAGAGCATAAATGATGTATATATGATTGAAATTCAACAATCATATTGAATCCAAGAATTAAAAGGATATCGGGTTCATCGGGTTGGGTTCAAAAGATAGTATCTCAGTATCAACTCAATACCTATGATTTGAAAATTTTACAACTCGATTAGACATCGGGTTACTTCAAGTTGAGTTATTTCGCATTGGGATGGGTTGGGTTGATCGAGTTGGTCAGGTTTTTGAGCATCCCTACCCACATACATTCTCCAATCAATCATCTTCTGATCAATGTGGTATGACAGCACAATTCATGATTTTTATATAATGCCACTTTATCATTTTCAAAATAATATTTCATCCATTCATAATAAGGAAAAGTCCAAAAAAACTCAATGGACTTTACTGTTTGAAACAATTAAGTCATTGGACAATTTTTTGGAACAAATAAATCATTGGACATTATTGAATCTATTATACAAGTCCTTAGACTTTTTAGAACTTGTTAAATAGATACTTATTTTTTGAAAATATAACTTGTAACCTGAATAGAAGGTAAACTCAAATTAAAAAAAAACCCCTAATAATATCCTAAAAATGATGACTCCCCATCTCTCTCATCGTCTCTCTCTCGTCTCCACACCATCGGCTCCTTGTCGTCTCCGCACCATCGTCGCTGCTTAACTCCCCCACGCCACCGTCTCCCTCTCGCCGGTCCCTGCTGCACCACCCCCGTCGCCGCGCACACCACTCCTGTAGTCGCCGCACCACCCCTGTTGCCGCTCGTCGCCGCCGCACCCAGCCCGCTCGTCACCATACACCACCGTCCCATCGCCGGTCATTGCTGTTGAACCGTCCTTATCGCCGGTCCCGCTGCAGTTTGATCTAATCAGGTTTGTTCCAACATTGTTCATCATATGATTACATTTTAATGTGCAACTTACATATCTACAATATCAAAGATGAATCATGTTGATTATTATAAATTTGTTCATATTGAGGATGAGTTTTATCATGAGCTATGAACATGTCGATTATTATAAATTTGTCCAATTGCTTTACTACAAAATATGAATCACTCGATCTTCTAGCATAAATCGATCGTTGTTAATGCGATTGTTTATCTGGTAAAAGAACACTAAAAAACTCACTAGTTGGATGTGTGTTCAATTTGCAATCAAGAACAAATGACAAAATGCAATAAAAAAGATATTATGTTTAGCTAGTAACCTTTCATGAATGTTGGTCTCCACTCGATGTCAAATCCAAAAACAGCACGACCCCCATCCCTATTCTTAGTTTAAACAAACGTTAACAACTCATTTACAGCTTTCTCCACCTCTGAAAATGATCTGTTGTACATAATATGACCTTTAAAAGTCATTGCAGGATATCCCTAGCTTTTGTGCTTTTGTATCTTTGTAACTACTACTTTACAGTGTGAGTTGTATTCTAGTTGGAGGTAATTAGCTAGCCTTTAGATATTTCTTATCACAATTCTTTCTCATAACCAATGCAAACGGGTGAAACATTATATGGCATTACAAAATGTTAAAGAGAAGGATCACTTTGTTGACATACAAAATATAAATATGATTGCAACCATTTAGGGGATGTTTATCAAACGCTTATTGCTTACCAAGTCACATTATATTTATATGTTGGGAATGATAATCACCCAACACACACAATAATTGTTGCAAGCAAAGAAAATCAAACACGATATTTACATGGTTCTACAATTTGCTCAATTCCATTGTCAATTTTAATTACCTAATTCATCAATTTTCTGGCGCATTTGTAGTTTAAAAAACATGAAGTCCTTGATCAGTTTACATGTTCCATATCCAACATTATGATGTCCCTGAACTTCCCTAACTCTATAATATTTTCTTATCCATCATTACAGTACAGTACCACCACTGCTAAACCCTTAGATAACACCAAGGGCACATTTTGAGACAATATTCACCCTTAAAATTTGTCATTTTAGAATTGTATCTATAATTTTGGGACAGGAATAATCTGCATTGGGCTACTTTTTCTCTTGAAAGAAATATACATAGAAATCAACAGGTTTTGTTTTCATTGATGAATCATGATGAAATCGTTATTCTTGTTTACAAAATGATATCATCCTTTCTTGTAGCTTTTTTATCATGTGGAAATTAATGATTGTACCCACTGCCCAGACAGATTTTACTTTTTCAGAAAGTAACTTGAGAGTTAGTTTACTGAAATTACATGAAACTACATTACTAAGCAGAATATATCGATAGTGTCCTCTTATTTCTTCCCTTCTAGAAGCTAGTAGATAGTGGCATTAGATGTTTTTCTTAGAAAAATTGGTTGGGGAAAATTGTCCAGATTAGAGAAGTGATGTTGCTCGGTCAATACAAAAGGCATTTTACTGTTTTTCTTATGTTTATGCTTTTGCAATTTCTATTGTCTATCTGGTTTTTCTTTGTGGCATACATGATTTCTAGAAAACTTTTATTGCATGAACTTCTATATTTGACTTGACAAGTTTGAGGCCAAGGGCTATTGATAAACTGTCTTATTTTCTGACACATAAATTTAATATAAAGTGAATGGGATGTGGGAAATACACTACTGTCAGTAATCTCTAAACATTTTTCCTATTTATTTTTTTGTGATGAAACCCATAAGTGGCAATGTGAAGGGAATGTTGGTACCCTATTATCACTGCATATTATTTTCAGAAGAGAAAACATGTCGTAGTGAGTTCCAAGATATTAGCTTGTGATTATTAATTGTTGTCAGGGGCCTATTGTTTTTCATTTCAGCTAAAATGAGTATTACTGATTTCAGGGGACGACTCAAATCGCCATGGTCTCGTAGGAAAAGAAAACATGCACTAACTCCTCAGCAGTGGAAAAGTTTGTTTACACCAGAAGGAAAACTTAGAGATGGTGTTAAATTTCTGAAAAAAGTTCATAGTGAAGTGTGTTCCCAGTTTCACGTGATATAATAATTTTACTTGTTTTAAAGTTTACAGGGTTTGAATAATTTATTTCTCTATTCTCCTACTAATTGATCTGTAGGGAGTTGATGCAAGGGTCAGAGGTTTGGACTTTCCTACTTGGAGTGTAAGTATCACTTCCAATTTGTTTTCTAAGTTCACTATGTAGTTTTTAAGTGGATGTTACATATGCATCCCATATTGTAGATGTCTTTATTTTTCTACATTTGCTTGTTTAACTAGAGGATGTTTACTAAATGAGAGCACTTGCTGCATTTTAAGGAGCTTGTGTATTATATTTATGCATCTCGGTGAATGATGTTAAAAGTTATTTTAACTATAACTAGAGCATCAGACATTTAAGCATGGGAACACCCATAATACAAAGGGGACTTATCAGACTTGTGGGTTGAAAGAGTGCAACGAGCAGGTGGTTGCGGGATGTCTCTGTAGAGATTAGGGTTGTTAAAGCTTTTTTTGACCCCAAAATTGTTATGTTTTCAATAGTTTTTTGCTCACTCTCTAATTTGTAGACAGAGAATGTCTAACATTGCTTACTGCTGCTATTGACCTACTTTCCTTTCTTCATTTTTTTACTCAACGGTTATGAACTGAACAGTTACCAAGAAGAAAGGGATAGATTAAGAACTCAGGGGAGGTCTGCTAGTCGATATTGTATTCAATTTCATGAGAGGCTGTTGTTAATGATGAAGACCGTGATGAAGGTGATACTACTGTTGGTGATGAAGAACATTATGAAAGTGATGATGTTGTTAGACATCAAGAAGGTTGCAAGAAAGTCAAATGGTTATTTCTCCACCATAAATTTATGATGCAAATGAAGAATAGTTCATACCATGACCTTAACATAGATTAGGCATTACTTTATTATATTTTAGCCCACCATTTGGTATATTTTGGCATAACTTTTGGTATATTTGGCGCAACTGTTAGTATTTTTTTGCACAACTTTTGGTATATTTAGCGGAATTGTTAGTATTTTTGGCGCAACTTTTGTTACATATTTTGGTTCAACTTTTGGTATATATTTTGGTTTAACTTTTGGTAAAATTATGCCCAAATTTTGTATGCAGATTATTAAACAGCAGCAGGCACAAGGTTTAGTTGTGTATAT